CTGATCATTGAGAACTTCTCTACCAACGACTGTATCACTCACAACTTCTCACACACAATCACAGATCAATGAGAAGATATCCAACACCACCTTCTCATTCACAGTGTCTCACAGACTCTCACAGATCAATTAGAAGATATCTAACATCACCTTCTCATTCGCAGTGACTCACGGACACTTGCAGGTCAATGAGAAGATCTCCAACAACCACAAATCACTCACCGGGCCTCACAGACACTCACAGATCAATCAGAAGGTCTCTCACACTCACTGTCTCACTCCCAGGGTCTCACAGACACTCACAGATCAGTGAGAAGACCTCTATCACCCACAGTCTTACTCATAGCTGTCAGAGAACATGGACAGATGCACTCACACACTAGGTCTCACACACCCACAACTTCTCCACCGTTTCTCCCCACAGTCACAGACTCACACTGAAGTCTGAAACACCTACAGCGTTCTTAAGGGGTCATTCACATTCATAGACTCTCTGACAAGTCTCAGACATCCACGAGCTCACTCACAGTGTGTTGCACACATTCACAGACTCACGCACAGGGCTAACGCAAGAAAATGCTCAATCCAAAAGGTGTACCACCCATTCTAAGGCTCACTCACAGGTCCCCAAGACCACCAGCTCACTCACAGCATCTCACTCGCATTCACAGACCACCCCCAAGGTCTCAGCCACCCACGGGCTCATTCGTAACGGTCACACACACATTGCCAGGCTCAGTCCCAGGTGTCAACCCCCCACAACGTAACACAGGGTCTTACACTCATTCACAGAGTCACTGCAAAGGTTTCAAACGCCCTCCCATCACGCACAAAATCTAACCCGCATCGAAAGACTCGGTCGTCACAATTTCTCAAAGACCCACAAGCTCAACTGAAGGCTCTCACACACTGAGACTGAGTCATATGTGTGAAACATACAAAAGTCTAAGTCCGGGGTCTAACACACGTTCCCTGAGAAGCTCTCAAACACCCACAAGCTCACTCACAGTGTGTTGCACACATTCACTGCCTCACTCCAAAGGTCTGAAACATTCCCAGACTCACAAGGTTTCAGACACAAGCTCACCCACAGGGTCCCACTCACATTCAGACTGACTGCAAAGCTGTACAACACTCTTAATTCCATGCAAAAATCTCACACATACTGAAAAAACCCACTGGCAAAGTCTCAAACACCCAGGCTCAGACACAGGGCCTTGCTACCATTCCCAGGTACACTCAAACATCCCAGGTTCATCCAGACTCACACCCCAGGTTTCAAACACCCAGAAGCTGACTCAGGGCCTCACGCACGTTCACAGACTCACTCACAGGTCTCAAACAAGGGTAAGCCCTGTCCAAGTGTCTACCGCATTGACAGACTCACCGACAATCTCAAACACCCACAGGCTCACACGTAGGGTCTCACATACCTCATAGACTTACTGACAAGGTCCTAAAACACACACGTTCACACGTAATGTCTCTCACACAGTCATAGACTCACTCAGAGGTCCCTAACACCCCCAATCTGACACACATGAACTGAAAACCATGTACAAATCACTCCCAAAGTCTCAAACACTCTCACGCTCATGCACAGTGTCTCACACACACTCACAGACTCACTCACAAGGTCTCAAACACCCACAAGCTCACACACTTGGGCTCACACCCCCACGCACTCCGCCTTTCTCACACGCATTCACTTGCTCAGTGCATCACACACTTTCTCAGGCTCCCTCACCATCTCTCCATACCACGGATTTACTTGCTAACACCGATCCACCTGCACACACCTGTCAGTACACTCACACACACTTTTCACAACACCCTCCCAGGGTGTCACTCCTAGACTGCTTGTTCTCACACCCACATGTGCCCTCACACATAACACACTCCTTCATCAGATCACTTCCAGGGTCTCATCCCGATCCCAAGCCTACTCACGGGACTCACAACCCGCCTCGCCTCACTCAGTGGGTTTTAGATCTTCCAGGCTCACTCACGGGGCTGCCGCCCACCCAGACATGCACGCACAGTGCCTCACACGTGCCCACGCTAACCCATGTCCACACCCATTCATAGTCAAACTACAATTCACACTCACCCACACCTTCACCGACTCATACTCATGTTCCCTATATACTGCGACTCACACTCATGCATGTGCAGTGTGCACACGCACTCACTC